GGAGGAAGAAGCTGCTTTCTGGGAAGCAGAATCTAGCAGAACCTGGTTAGCTTACTTTAAATCAGTTTTTATATGCAGCGGTTTGAACTCTCTTAAACTAGCGCTGGCGCTAAAGCTACGTCTCTGAACCAAACGCTTGATTCACAGCCAGGATTCAGTTCTGAAGAAAAAATCCAGGAAGCCAATTATAGCTCAGAATCATCAGATCTATGAAACTCTCCGTTAGTTAATCTGTTTAACGTTTCTTTAGAGACGCATTAAACCAAAATAAGACGGGTTTATAAAGTGAAGCAAAGCAGCGGCGAGGATTTCCATTCTGAGGCACGGCGACCGACAATCAGCCCAAAGCCACGAAAAGCCTAATGGTTCAATTTATTCCTCCGGGTCACGACCCCGTCGGCGGTTTATCCTGGAAGCAGGAGAGAAAAAGCTGAACTTCTTTAAGCCTCTGTTTGATTTTTCTTCGTTTGCAGAAAACTGCAATTCGCTTTCCTCCATTTCTGACTTTACCCTGGAAATAATCCATCAGCCGAGCAATCATTGGTCACCATCAGGATTCATCTGGACGTTAAAATGAGCTGCAGCTTTAAAGGCAGCAGAGGTTCTAACACCGACCTCAGGCTGTTGCTTCATCGCTTCCATAAAAACGGAGGAGGATCTTAAATTCAATGCATTTAGGAAGGGATATAGAGAGAAAGAAAACTCCTCTATGAGCCGATGATGAACCTGGCGGATCTGGCTGATCTGGATCTGTGCGGACTTTAAGGAAGCGGCTCCATAAACCAAGTTTTCTCCTCCTGAACAGCAAACGTCTGGATCAGGAGCTAAAGTGTTTGAGGACACATTCCAGCCGAAGATGGGAAATAATCTGAGTATATTTACATGTTTGTTCATCAGGGATTAGAATTATAATAATTAAAGAACTTCCATCCAGGAGCAGAGATCAGGTACGAACATTTCAAACTTTCTGTCTCGGGCTAAAGCTACTGAAACTGTAAACGAGCTTTTTTCAGCGTCGTCTAGAGCAGAGGAAGCGGAGCGGTTCCCGGCGCACGGCGAGCGGAGGGTTGGAGGATCAGTTCTGGTTCCTCGGCGAACGCCTGCGGCGGATCCAGTTCTTCCAAAAACAGAAAAAGTGCAAAAATCTTTTTTTTTTTGTTGTAAAAATGTGAACCTTTTAGCAGAGAAGAGCCTCAAACCCAAAGAACATGAAGAAAAGCTCCGGAGGCTTTCAGAGGATTTCACTCCTTTCTATCTAGCGTGGTTTAATACCCTCGTCACCATGGCGACGGAGTCTGCAGCAGAGATGGGTCGGTTAAGCGGAGGCGGGCAGAGCGGCCGGTCGGCTCTCGCTCGCCGGCTGTTCGGCCGTCCTCGGGGCGAGGGGGCGGGGCTAGAGGGTGATGAGGTCCACCAGGTTGCCTTTGGGCGGGGTCATGCTGTCGGGGAAGAAGTTGACGAGGGTGTCGAAGAGCTGCGTCCGCTGAGCGTACGTCTGGTCTACGTCAGAGAAACCTGAGGACAGAAGAGAACAGGTCTGACAGCGGCTCGTCTCCCCGGGCGCCGGCGCCCAGCCTGGCTGGACACGCCTCCAATAAACAATCAGATGTTCAACCTTTCAGTCCCAAAAATCGGCATCAAATCGGTTCAACACTAAATTTAATCAATTACATTTAGCAAACGGGCTTTAAGATCAGAGTCGTCAAATAAAGAAGAAAAGTTGTCGATCTAAACTTTACTGGATCGATTATTTTTAGTCAACTTTTTCCTTCTACTCCTTACGTTTGAAAAATAGACTCGTATTTTTATTTCATTTAAGCTCATTTTCATTTTGGTATTTAAAACCAAACAAAAACCAACAAAATTAGTTTAATTCAGACAATTAATTTCTCTGTGGTTGGACTCGGTGCTGCCCCAACTAGTTGCTCACCACGAACCACAATAAATCGTTTTTCCTAATGATGCAAAGTTAAATGTGATGCTGTTACCATCAGTTATAAACTAACAAAATAAAGTCTGAGGAAGTTTTCATCCAGAATTATAGAAAAATGTTCC